TTTGGTTTGTAAATAAAATGTTTTGATTATTACTTTAATTTAATACAAAACGTAAAATGTTTGATGTAAAATCCAATTATTCTGTTATTTCTCAAATCCTATTATTTTATTCTGCTGATATATTTATTTTATTTAATAATTCATTAACTATTAACTTTATTAAAGGTATTTTATATATATATATATATATATATATATATATATATATATATATATATATATATATATATATATATATATATATATAGCGAGTGTTTGCAACTTTAATTTTGTCGCTTCTCGCATCTCAATCGCCATAATTTCTTATCGGCCCAGTCTCCTTCTTGAAGACCTCTATTTTCCATTTCTATATGAATATTGGATATCCATTTCTTTCTTGGCCTTCCCCTTTTATTTCTCTGTGTAGGTCTACAGTTCCAAACACTTCGTGGTATCCTTTCTTCGTTCATCCGTCTCAGGTGTCCATACCATTTTAATTGTTTTTCGGCTATCGTATCCATTATTGTGTTCTTTACTTTCATTCTCTCTCTTATGTTTTCATTTCTTATGTGGTCAAACAAAGTTAACACGGAACATCTTCTCCAGTACATCATTTCCGTTTAGAGGAGTTTTTGTGACATATTCTTGTTAAAGACCCACACTTCTGACCCATACGTCACCACCGGCTGAATCATAGCCTGATATATATTTTTCTTTGTTTTCTTAGTTAAAGTTTTATTCCACAGGATCGGATGTAGTGTTTTATCATGTTTTTTCCTTTTCCTATTTTTCTTATTATATCTTTGTCGTCTCTCCTGTCTTCGCTTAGTGTAACTCCGATATTCGTACTGATCAACGTTTTTAATTAATCCGCTTTCTGTTTCCATGTCTTGACCGATGCCTCCTATATTCATGTATTGTGTCTTTTCGGTATTAACCTCTAATCCCCATTTTTTGAATTCGTCTATTAGTTTGTTTATCATGTTAGTGTTAGTTAGTGTTAGTGTTAGTTATAACATGATTAAAGGTATTTTATACCAAAATTCAGAAGTGTTGAATGTTTTCTTTAATTTTCTTGCGTTGCCTGAAGTAATTGCGATAAATCAGAATTATGTAGTTGATTTCTAAATTGCGATTATCTCGAAAACTGTTGAGTTTTGAAGGTATTAATAAGTATACGTTTTTTTGTTAAAATAACGTATCTTTATTATTTTTTATTAAAAATATCGGTTACTCAAAGAGCAAAAGAGTTACGTGCAAATGTATGCCACATATGTGGCATATGTGGCGCCCTCTATCAGCTACATCAAAGTGTACATCAAATTTTAATTTCTGATATTTAATAGTACCCAGTTGTAAATTTTTATACATAAATGTTGACAAACATAAAAGTTATAGCGAAAAATATAATTTTAAATTTCCAGTTTAACACCCTGTATCTTTCTTAATATCAACGTTTTATTAAAGCACCTTGACTTTAATCGTAATATTTTAAAGTGTAGAATCTACGGTTTCTTTTTGTACAATTACTTAAGGACCACCCTGTATATACAGGAATGAGGATTAGCATTATTTCTTAAGCTGTAGTAAGGCAAAATCTGAGTACAGCAGTGATTCCTATGATTGAAGCTTTCGAGTTTTACTGCAGATCAACAATTAATTAAAAATTACGACAAAATGGGTTTTTGTCATAGAATAAAAGACTTTCCTAAAAAACCTTTAGTTAATTTTATTTATAATTATATGTTCTACTAATATTAGACTAGATAAGAAGTTGACTTCGTTTTAAGGTAATTACATTTTTTAGTAAATTTCCCTAGCTTTTGATGATTATTGTTTCTTTTATTTTATCATAATATTCCTAACCGTATATTTCTTTTAATTAAATTAATCATTTACTAGTATTTTAGTTCCTATGGCTAACATAATATTAACCTAGGGTAAAGTAAGGAGAGATGCACCACCTTTTGCAAGTAAAAATTAAAAATTATATTTTTAAGGCTGTTTTATCGGTGCACCAAAACCTAGGGACAGTGTTTTCTTTGTTGTTTACCAACAAAATATCTCGAAATTTGGACAAGTTATTCGAAATTATGTTGCCATTAAAATGATGGTTTTACTTTTTTTATTTTTTGAAACTTCTGTTGAAGAATTGGATTATACTGTTTAACGTTTTATTATAAGCAAACTTTTTACGCCCATCACTTGAAAGAGTTTTTTTTTGTAATCGTTGATTTTTTTTTACCTTTCTGTGTCCATTAATAATCGAGAAAAGCGTGTTACAACTTAAAAGAAAATTACTAAAAAATACTAAAATCTAATAGTGAAACGTGTTACTCATCATTGGCGATTAGTTTCACCGTTATCGCCTTCGTGACGTCAAATCTCATGAACGTACGATCAGTTAGTTCGCGTTAAAACTAATTTGAATGGAGAATAATGCATTTGTTGTCATTAAACTACCCGTCGGCAGGCGCCGCTGTAAGCAGTGTAGAAAATTAAGTGATACGCCCATTTCAAATCGCAGTGTGCTTCAACTGCTAAAACAGCCTTAAACCTAAAAAAAAAAATAAAATGAACTGGCAAGTCATCGGTCCATCTATCCTCAACCTTTTTAATAGCAAAAGACTTTCCGTATTTGTTAAAGAGATTCAGTAAAAGTTTTATGTAACTAGCGCTTACAAAAAATATATTGTAAACAATCATCTTTTTTACATGTTTGGTGATAGTCCTCGTTGCACCCAACACACTCATTTTCAATATCACTCATGTTTTCATCACCACTAGTGTCGTTTAGTGTAACATCTTCTGATAGTGATGGTTGGCTTGGCTTTCTTTTGCGCTTTTGTTTTTTTTTATAAGTTTTGAGCTTTTTTTTATCAAGGCATCCTTCTTCATTTTAATAAAGTCTTGAGCAGTAATTTCTCCAGTTATTTTTTACAAACTCTCTTTACTACTGCTGCCAATACAGGCACGGGCGTTACCTCATTAAGAGCCTTTTCAGGAGTTATATCTTTATCAGTAATCGATGACTTGTTTGGGCTACATGCAAGGATATTTTACCACTGACTCCAGAGGGACCTGGTTAAGGAGATCCTGATATAACTGGAAAATTCATTGTTTTTGTTTCTGATGCGGTGAGTGTCAAAAATGCATACTCTGGGATTATTAATGGATTAAACGAATAAATTTCTGTGGATTTAAATGCAGAAGCCGCATTTTGTACAGTTGCTGAGTTTCCCTATGCTCGACCTAAGAGTTTACCAAACTAAAGGCGTTTTAGAACCCTGTTATTCTGTACCATAAAACGGCATTGAGCATAAAAATTGCTTTTAAGTGACTTAAAAAACGCACGATCCAGAGGCTGTAGGTAATGTGTCGTGTAGGATGGCAAACAAAATTAAATTGTTTCGTTTTGGTAGACAAATTCTAGTAGATCCAGATTGATCGTATAGGATGTGTGGCCATCTAATATTAATAAGGTTTTACCTGGAAGCTTTCTTGGCAAAAAGTGTGTTTGTAACCATTCGAAGAAAATGTTACTGTTAACGTATGCTCATTTTTCCAACATCCTAATCTTGCAACCTGGTGACATAGCATAATGCCACTTGTCATTTTTATTTTTTCTCTTAAAAGTGCAATATGGCGGCAAAAAATCCCTTCTGCACTACAGTCAGCTAGTACACTGATCGTTTTAAAATTTTTCCCCAGGGCTTACGCTAGGAACACATTTTGAATCTTTTTCTGCTAGAACTTGACCGGCTCTAGTATTCAGTTGTAATTCTGTTTCGTCAGTATTAAATATGTGTCCGGATTTATCATAAAAATTATATTCGGTCATAATTCTCTCGAGATCAGAAAAGTAGTGTGACTGTTTCTTTGGACATTCCTATAGCTCGTGCAATTGAGGTGTTTTTCACAGCTTTTCTAATTGAAATTTCGGTCTTCGTTTCAAAAAGTGTTCTAACCATTTTTTCTAGCTTTACATAAAAGTACACAATAATCTGATACAAGTAACTCTTGTATCAGATTATTGAATTTAAACATTTTCCTTCTTCTACATTAAATTGATTTGGGATTTATAATCGCTGAGCTAAATTAAAGACCATGATTCTTACTTAAGTTCTGATTGGTACAAAGCCTGGTTTTTGTGGTTTTTTTATATGGCTAACGATTTTAACTAACAGCAGTTCCTAAAGAACAATATGTACCTAATTGGTACATCTTATCCATAATGTTTGTTGGTATTCTACGTTTAAAAGTCATTTTGGATATACCAAATGCTTTGGCGGCTTCATTAATACCCATATCACCATTCTTTACAGCATTTACGGCATCACTTAGTTCCCTAGAGGTCCAGTTACCTCTCTTAGGTATATTTGGTTTGCGAATATATTTATTGAGCATAATCATAAAATAAAACACATGTACTGCTCACACTTTTCTCCTCGTGGTCCATCTATCCCAAATAGGAAGACAGATGGACCAGCATGTATTGTTTAAAATAAGCAGACTACTGCAGTAGTTATTACACTTTAATACATATTTTAAATATAGTTCAATAGCAAACTAACAAATAATCGGTCAAACTCAACTGTTTTTACAAAAAAATAAACTTAAAAAACTCAAATAAAATGATCACACAGTTTCAATTATCGTAAATACCACTCATACCAGTACGCACCAATGCATTACAACTGTCGTCTTTAAGCAACTAACGTTAAACGATATAACACAGCAGAGTATGATAGAATTGCCCTGTTGTCAGGCTTGGTCAAGTAAACCTAGTGGACCGACTATACTCCTGGTCCAACTCTCCTCCCTTTACCATATGTATCAACCAGTTATCTTATATATTTTGCCAAGTCTTTGAATTGGGATTATTTTACCAAGTCTTTCCATTCATCTTCCGTTATAAAATCGTTACTCTAAGACTTAAATGTTACTTACATTTGTAATGCATCCACCAGTTATTCTTTATAGTTTTGTTTTTTGTTTAAAATATATATAAAACAAAAAGGTTGCAAGTTAAAAATTGTATTAAAGAAAATAATATTAAAATATGTTAGTTTTAACAGTTTAAAAGAATTTAAGAATAGCTATAGAGAATTTTTCTGATTTCGTATCGTTTTTCATTTCGATAAATTATGCGAATTATCTGGCTTAGGGTACAATCTCAACTGGTATTAAAGCACAAATCACGTCTTTGTCATTTTCGTCCTTCAGGTGTAGCTCAAGATCTATTTTTACCTAAAACAATGATTAACTAGATATAGTAATATAAATATTATATATAATATAAAAATATAAAGCGTAACAAAAAGGTGGGTCATAAATAAAATCGCGTATTCTGGGACAAAAAAATAGTTCGATTAAACCTAATTTATATTTGTACAAAATGTGCACTTAAAAAAAGTTACAGCCCTATGAAATTAGAAAATAAAAATTGGTTTTTTATATATATCGAAAACTGTTTAAGATTTTATATTAAAAATGAACTGAGAGATTTACTAAAAAAGCATGACTACTTTAATGCATACAAAAAGATTAACGAAGTCACAAATACGAAGAAAAAATCACTACAACAATTTTAATAGATGATAACAACGAAATAGTATTTAGTCCAAAAAAAGTAGGAGATATGTTGGAAAAATACATCGAAGATCTGTTTGATGACGAGAGAACAGAACCACAGATGAGTACAAGAAACAATACTTGATATATTAACATCGGAAGTTACAAAAACAATCAATACGGCTTCTTCTTCTTCTTCTTGTAGTGCCTATCCGTTTCGAATGTTGGCGACCATCATGGCAATCTATACTTTGCACACTGCTGCTCTAAAAAGATTTGTGGTTGTTGTGTTGAACCACGTTCGTAGATTTTTCAGCCAGGAAATCCTTCGCCTTCCTGGTCCCCGTTTTCCTTCTACTTTTCCCTGCAAGATTAGTTGCAGTAGTCCATATCTTTCGTTGTTCCTCATGATGTGATCGAGGTATTCCACTTTGGCTGTTTTTATTGTGGTTAACAGCTCTTTTTCCTTTTTCATTCTCAACAGAACACCCTCATTAGTAACGTGATCGGTATACGATATCTTTAGGATGCGACGATAAAACCACATTTCAAAAGCTTCAATTTTCTTGCAGGTGCCGTCTGTGAGAGTCCATGACTCAACTCCATACAACAGTATAGGAAAGATGTCACATCGTAGTAACCTGATTTTTATAGGCATTGATAAATCATGACAATTGAAATAACTTATTTTCATTAACGTTCGTACCAATGTAGGTGTATGTTTTTACTCTTTCTATTTCTATTTCTGATCCGTTCCTTCTTAGAGATAATCATGCATTTTGTCTTCTTAGAGTTTAGTGAAAGTTGGTATCTCTGACTGACCTCTGTGATTCTGTTCATTAACTCCTGGTGGATTTCAAAACTATCAGCGAATACTACCGTGTCGTCCGCGTATCTAATGTTATTAATAGATTCTCGGTTGATTCGAATTCCGGCTTCAACATCACCCACTGCTTCTTGAAAGATTTCCTCAGAGTATATGTTAAACAGCAGTGGTGATATTATACATCCCTGACGGACGCCACGTTTGATTTTGATATAGTCGGATTCTCCTGCCTCTGTCCGAATAGATGATGTTTGATTCTAGTACAGATTGCTGACAATTCTTAAATCACAGGTGTTTATTCCAATATTGGTTAATATCTCCATTACCTTGTCGTGCTTTACTGTATCCAACGCTTTATAATAGTCAATGAAGCACGCATAAATGTCGCAGTTCACGTCTCTACATCGTTGAAATAGCACTTGTACCTATACTAAAGAGAGCCTCTCTCGTACCCACTGCATTCCGAAAACCAAACTGTTTATGGCTGATTTTTTCTTCGCACAGTTATATATCCTTTAATGTAAGATTTTTAGAAATAATTTTAAAATATGATTCATTAAGCTAATGGTTCGGAAATCACTGCAGGATACGGATTTTGTTTCCTTTGGTAAAACAATAAAGGTCGACTTCAGTCATGTTCTTGGTATTACTCCACTTAAATATATGTTATTAAATACTTTTGTTAGGTGTTGAATACCGTCGGTCTTAAATAGTTTTATGAGCTCAGCATATGCATTGTCAGGTCCAGGAGCTTTGCCATCTTTTAGTTGTAATATGGCTTTTAGCACTTCATCTGATGTGATTGGTAAGTGGTCATTACATATGTAGGATGGAGGTTGTTCGGATATAGTATCATCAAAGAGTTCTTATATGTATTTTGTCCATATGCGGATTTCTTGATTTTTGTCTATGATGATATTCTCCTGTTGGTATCGCACTTTGTTAGCTGCGTTGGATTTCTGAAGAACTGCTGCTGCTTGTTTTGTAGCATTTGTAATTTTATTGATTCTTTTAAGTATATTGAAACCTCCTCGTATAAAAAAATATATTAAAAACTCCTTATATATTTTTAAAAAATGATACGAAGAATTCTCCCGTGTTTGTTCGTATCTTTCAAAGTACCCAAATATCTTTTCATTTCTTTCTTAGGTCGGCCAAGTTGAAATAAACCATTTTAGAGTTGTTTATTTATTTTAACTTCCTCGGCAAATTCTTGTTTTATTAGAAGCCGCAATTTTAATGCGTCGCAAAAGGATATGTACGTCGTTTCGTGGTGTTTTGTTATGTCAGCGTTTGTATGTATGCGTTCAATTTTAATAGAATTTCTTCACTATCGTTGGAGCCGCGGTGAAAAGCGGTCAACGTTATTTCCGAATTTGACTACAAATTCGAAATGTTCCTCGTTGTTTGTGTTTTTTTATGAAGACGTTTGTTCGTCTGTTTTTTATGAAGAAAATGTGTAGCAGTGTGAGGTTAATGGTTCAGTAAATGTTTGAGTGAGGAATGGAAGAATCGTCGATTCCATCCTCGTTTTGTTTCTCCCTGGTTATCATCCAAGGCTTTTGGCAGTATGGAGATAGATTTGTTCGAGATATGAAGATATGGAGATAGATAGTTGTGTTCATTACACAGAGAGTAAACGCCTTAGTTCCAGTTATGGTGTCGGATATTCCAGTGGCGTCTGGTTCCACAAATTCTAGTGTATTTCGTTAGTGAAAATCCAGGTAACTTTTGATCAAATTTTAAAGTAAAGACAGATACTTTGTTTTAAATTAAATAATTGCTTTCGTTGACATTTAAAATTTTAAATTTTAGATTTTGAGTTGAGCTGTCAATTTGTGTGTTTAGATTTTTTTGAAATGTAGTGGTAACTTATGACAGCTCGTTTTTTATTATTTTTTTGGTTATTAGTTTGTTTTATTTTTAAACAAGGTTAACCTCCATATAAATTTGTAGTTTTATGTAGTATTTCCAACTCCAGGAGTTAGTAAGCGGATGACACGTAAGTTTTGTATTTTGTATTTCTCCATTTTGTAACTGTTTGTGGTGACACATAAATAAAGGTTAAATTTTGTTGTCTTAACTTTTTATTTATTTTTTTGAGCCAAACCCTTTTTGAATTTATTTGAAAAAGATATGTTTTTTAGGTTTTGATTTTGTTTTCTAATTATTTCCCTAGTTACAACTAGTGGCTGTAATAGGAATAATTAGGCACCTCAAGTGGCGCCCTATATTAAATTCCTTGAGGTGTTTCTTGTTAATTTTTATTTTGTTTATCCCAAGAGCCCTTTATTTAATTTTTTTGTATTTCCCCCATTCTAATGCCCTTATCTTTTACTTATCCACGACCCCAGCTCTCCTACGAAACCCTGAGTGCCGTTTCCACCCCCAATAGTTTTTTCCCCCAATTTTCTATCTCCCGCATTAATGCCCCCTGTGGTAGGCAAAATATTTTCGTTACAGTTTCACGCTTTTATGCATGTTAAGTGTTTCATGTTTTTATTCTAACAACTCTATCTCTTCACACTGTGATTTTAACCAATTTTCTTTGGCCTTTCGTATTTCGGTTCTTCTTTGTCTCTGAATCTTGTTGAACATTATTTTGTTGCTCTTTGATTTTCTTCTTTCTTCCATAAGTTGCAGTATATTGTCATTCATGAAACTTTTTTTCTTATCTTTTTTTTCTATTAGATGTTCTTCTCTGATCTTGTTAAAGGATTCACATGTATTTTGGAGTGATTCTTCGGCATTATATGTTTGCTCCATATTACTTAGCTTTTCTGAAAGAATATGTGCGACTGTTTCGTTTGTTTTGTTATCTGTTAGTTACTATTCTTTTTTGTGACCTTCTTGAATCTAAACCTAAATTTACCAACAACAGGAACATGATCTGATGATACGTCAGCACCTGGGTAACTTTTAACTGATAGGCATCCATTACGAAATCTCTTGTTCACCATTATGTACTCAATTTGATTCCGATTACGGCAAAGCCACGAAAAGCCTCAGGTCCAGATGAAATATACGTAGAGATGATAAAGCTTATCAATAAAGAAAATCTTTAGACGTTAACAATTAACAAAATGTATAAAATATATACCACTGGAATCTTCCCAGAAGACTGGCTTAGATCGACATTTATACCTATACCCAAAAAAACTAAAGCAAATAGATGCTCACAGTTCAGATTGATTTGCCTAGTGAGCCATTTTCTAAAAATTTTAGTGAAAATTGTACATCAACGAATATACAGAGAATGCGAAAGAAACCTGAGCGACGATCAATTTGGATTTCGTGTGGGGCTTGGTACAAGGGAGGCATTATTTGGCCTTCAGATATTACAAAAAAATTCAAGATCAGCGAAAAGACGTGTTTCTTTGTTTTATCGACTACGAAATAGCGTTTTATCGAGTGAAAACGCACAGAACTCATAGAAACCCTAACCAACATGGTATAGACCATAACACTGTAGCACTTATTAAAAAACTATATTGGGATCAAATGGCGTCTATCAAAATAGACAATCGTCTGATAGCAGAATTGCCAATTAAAAGAGGAGTTTGTCAGGGCTGTGTACTTTCTTCACTGTTATTTAATATATATTCCGAGAAGATCTTTCAAAATGCCCTCGAAAATATTGAAGAAGGAATAAAAATCAACAGAGAATACGTAAATAACTTAAAATATGCAGACGACACCGTCATTATTGCGGACGGTGCTGAGGGTTTACAACGACTTTTTAATGTCATAACCAGAGAGGGAGATAGCTTGGGACTAAATATAAACACAAATAAAACAAAAGTAATGGTGGTTACACGTGCACCAAATGTCGACATTAATATTCGTATCTATCACAAACATATAGAACCAGTACAAAGATTCCAGTATATTGGTTGCTGGATAACTAACGATCTTGACCACGAAGTCGAAATACGTGCTCGTATAGAATATGCTAGGTCCGCATTTTAACGAATGAAAAAATTACTAATAAACTCTACTTTATCGTTGGATATCTGACAACAATTTGTAAAAACGTTTATTTTGTATTTTGTAAAAAAGATTTGCTTTTTGCGTTCCGTTTCATTATCTTTTCTAATCGGCAGAATGGTCGTTGTAATGTAGCGTTGTAAATTGGTAGTGTTGCGTTGGTCTTTTGTTCTTTTTGTACACTTCCATAAAGAGTAGTGAGTGCTTTAGTAATCGGTCAGATTGTTTAGGTATTAGTTAATAATAGTAAAAGGTTCTGTACAATAATTTTATTATAAAAATTTATTAAAAATTTTCCAAAATAGATTCTTAAATTTTTAGAACGTTTTAGATCGTATTTTGTCTATTTTACTTTCGCAAGGCGGTATTTTGTCTCCTCTAATCTTCAATTTCTACACTGTGAAAGAATATTTATTGAAGCTTTGTACGCCACTGAAAAAGGTATTTTACGAAACGGATTCTACCAAATGCATAGTATTTGCGGAGAATCTAGAGGACCTACAAGTCCTTATGAACAAAATTACGTATGAGAATCCAGAATGTGGACTTAATTAATATAAAGAAGACGAAGCTCATGATAATTGGCAAAAAAAAGATAAAGGAAGATTAACTACGTCAACCAAACCCCAGCAGAAAGAGTAACGCACTACAACTACCGCAGCACTACTATAAATAAAGAATGGACTAACAACCAGGAGATAAAAGCGCGCATCAGAAAAGCTAAATCCACCTTCAACTGGATGGAGACCTTTTTCAAGACCCACAACCTTTGTCTTGGTATAAAAGTATGAATTCTACGATGCTACGTCTTCTCTGTCATTTTTTTATGATGTTGAATTCTAGACCTTGTACGAATCTACGTACAGAAGATTAGAAGCATTTGAGATGTGGTTCTATCGGAGATTAATTAAGATCCCGTGGAGGTCTTCAGAAGAATTAAGAAGAGCCAAAAAGTACTGGTTAAAATAAAAGTGTTTTATCTTAGTTTACTTTTGGTAAACTGCTAAAAATATATAATTTAATAAAGATGTTAATATTAAAAATAATACCAGCGAAAACTAAAATTATTTTACATGAAGTGCAAGCAGCTAGTAAAAAATGTTAATTTTGGCTTGTGGCAATTATAGAAACACCCTATTTTTATTAATAAATGTAACTTACTAAGGGATAACTCTTAATTACAAACAGGTTGAGAGTATAGTTGTAGGTGTTTCCGGAGTTTATTGGACACGTCACTCCCAACTCACAAGCGTTAGGATTTCTTAAATTATATTTGCCTTTATTCGAGCCAACTGTACCTATGGCGACTGCATTTAGGGTTTTAGAGTAGGTATCTAAAAAAGAATAATATGATATTCTAATTAATAAATATTAATAAGCTATAAATAATATAAAATTATTATTAGATTAAGACCTAGTCTTGCCATACCATGCAAGTATGAAACTACCATGATATCATTCAAAATAGCCGCTATTTTCCTGATTAAAGCGTCAAAGTATAGGCCACTTATTGATGATCGCTATATGAACGACATTCATGAGCACATTGTATATATAATAACGGATTGATTACGGCTATCGCCGCTTCTCCGCCTCCAATTTCCATCTTTTTCTGTCATACACAGTTGCCTCTTCTAAGTCTCTTGGCGCCATTGCTTCATCAATATCGTTGCGCCAACTTCTCCGTGGTCGTCCTCTCTTTCTTCTTTCAGGAGGGACCCATTCCAGTACTCTTTTTGGCCATCTGTACTCTGGCATTCTTTTAACATGTCCGAACCAGATTAATTGTTTTCTTTGTATGTCATCATTGATATTTCGCTCCATTTTTATTTCGTTTCTTATTTGTTCGTTCCTAACTCTTCCTAGTTTCGATCTACCGCAGCTTCGTCTCAGATAATTCATTTCTGTCGTCATAAGTTTGTTTTTATTAGCTTTGGTGACGTCCCATACTTCCGAACCGTAAAGTGTAATACTTTTTACTATACTACCATAAATGTGTTTTTTGGTTTCTCATCGAATTGTTTTTTTTGCCAGAGAAGAGAGTTTAAGGCACGGGTCGCTGCTCTACCCTTGTTTATTCTTTCCCTGATTTCATCTGCGCTATTTCCCTTCTTATTGAAAATGACCCCCAAATATTTGCAGGATTGTACGCCTTTGATTTTGTCGTCTTCCAGTGAAATGGGATATGACTAAATGTGAATATCTATCAGTGGGAACAGATGAAATATGTGACTAGGTCACATATTTCATCTGTTCCCACTGATAGATATTCACATTTAGTCATATTCATATTTAAACTTTGAGGGTATACAAGGCAACTATCGAACACGGTGATTAATTTAATCTTGCCCAAGCGCTTTCGATCAATAGATCATCTTCAGATTCTGTCTCCGGCTTCTTCACAATATGTAGCTTCGCCATATAAATTTTAAAGTGTTTGTTTGTCTTAGTGTAGTGTATTTTGTATTGTTATGTCCAGTTTTTACATTTATGACATTCTAGTATGTCGGATAGTCCACAATTGACGAAATGCCCCTGAAGATGATCTATTGATCGAAAGCGCTTGGGCAAGATTAAATTAATCACCGTGTTCGATAGTTGCCTTGTATACCCTCAAAGTTTAATTATTCGAACATTCAACCTTATATTGGTTGATATTCATATTTAGACCTGCCACCCCATATTCTTCTTGCAGTTTTCTTACCATATAGCTAAGATCGTAGCTATCTTCGGCAATTACTACCTGGTCATCCGCAAAGAAAAGTGTATATAGCGTGTTTTCTTCCACCGTTATTCCCATGTTTCTACATTTTTTTACCCATTTCACTAAGGATATGTTCAAATAGATTTTAAATAAGATGGGTGACAGACAGCACCCTTGTCTTAGTCCCTTTGTTGTTTGAAAAGGAGAGGTGATTTCTTGTCCCATTTTAATCCTTGCAAAGTTTTGTTCGTAGTATTTTTGAGTGGCGTTAATAAGAATTGGGTTTATTTTCAAGTTATTAATTTCTATCCATAGTTAGGCGATCGGTACACTATCATATGCTTTTTCCAGGTCTATTAAGTTATATGGTTTCTCTATTTCTCTTAAATCTCTATCTATTGCCTCTTAAATGTTACCAAATACAGTAATTTTACCGCTCAATGTTAAAATGTATGTTTGATGTACAAAATTTAATATATAAAAAAATTGAAATATTGAAAAACCGACAACGCTGCCAAGCCTACAAAGGTACAGTAAACGAACATATTCATGACTTATAAATAGAAAATGATAGCATTTCTTGCTGATGCTAAATTACTGCAACCTGAAAAGAGTTCAAAATGTCAGCGGGATATATATATATATATATATATTATATATATATATATATATATATATATATATATATATACATATATATATATATATATATATATATATATATATATATATAAATATGTATATATATATATATATATATTATATATATATATATATATATATATATATTTGCCATTTTTACGATTCTGAAGAGATCATTAAAATTTATTATTATTCATTAACCTACCACTATGGAATTTCAATTTTTTAAGCCCAATCTTCAACATGAAATTTCGGTTTTAATTTTTTGCAATAAATAGGCATTCGAACTCAAATATGCCTAACAAACGCTGAATTTAAACTTTAAAATTAAAAACGATTGTACTTCATGGAAAATACTTTCAAAAAGACGGTATTGGGTGAAATTTGAAGCCGAGGTTACATGTGTGGGGCAACAAAAATTTAATTTTAAAAATTAGATCTCGATTTGTGCTGCAATAAATATAAATTGGCAACAGTTAAAGTTATCACCGTTCGTTTTAGATTGAGGGTACAAAATATATTTATATATCCTGTACAAAATATAATATAATTTAATTACAAATCTGTACTGGCATCAAGTGGCAAGAATAAAGGTTGAACAAGAACTGTCGGATGAAATAAATATAAAAAGAGGAGTGAGACAAGGCTGTATATTGTCGCCTTTACTTTTTAACTTGTATTCAAAGGAAATATTTAAGGAAGCCTTAATGGAAACAACCGAAGGTATTATTGTGATTGGAGTAACCGTCAACAATATTAGATATGCCGACAATACCTTAGTCCTTGCCAATTGCGGAGAAGACCTTCAAAATATAATGAACAAAATAAAACAGACTTGTGATCAGTATGGATTAAAACTTAACTTTAAGAAAACTAAATATATGATAGTTAGCAAACAAAATTATATAAAGGATGACGGTATAAAAGTCGGAGATAGATGCCACACTGGTCAGAGTAGAGAAACTCGTGTATCTCGGCAGTAATATCAATGAGAGCTGGGATCCAACCGCAGAAATTAAAAGCCAAATAGAACAAGCCCGAGCTGCCTTTGTATAAATGAGAAACGTACTTTGCAGTCACGATCTTAGCATTGACTTTAGAGTTCGTATGACATCTTGCTACATCTTTCCTGTACTGCTGTATGGAGTGGAAGCGTGGACTCTAACTGAGGCTATGCTTAAACGCTTGACAGCCTTTGAGAAGTGGGTTTACAGACGATTACTGAAAATAAGCTGGGTCGACAGAGTTAGAAATGAGGTGGTCCTTTGGCGGCTGAACTAAACAACACAACTGGTCAATATAATAAAGAAACGCAAACTGGAACACTTCGGTCACATTATAAGACACCCTGAAAAATATGATCTTTTACATCTGATCATTCAGGGAAAGATCCAAGGTAATCGTAGTCCTGGTAGACGAAGAACATCATTGCTGAAAAATCTAAGGCAATGGTATGGAAAATCAACTACACCGTTATTTAGAGCTGCTGTCAATAAAGTCACGATAGCGAATATGGTAGCCAACATGATATCCAACCATCGACAATGATCACGGAACTAGAAAAAGAAGTACAAAATATACTACAGGAGAAAGAAGCAATTTTCTTTTATTTTTACGGGTTTAAAAACATGGGTATAATCGTTTTACTGTACCAACAATGTTAATAAAACTTACTCGATTTAAACGTCACCAGAATTGATGGGTTTGTTCCCTGCTTTATTGGAAATCGATCTCCTCCTTCAGAATCTGTCAACTCGATTTTGACTATTTGGCCAGTCTCGGATCCTAAAAAAAATAAAATTAAAAATCCTGTGTAACAACGGCTAAAGTAAATATTGCAAGAATAAATTAATTAAGAAAAATCAAAGAAATTTTTAAAAAATCTAACGGTAGTTAAATTTTATTCTCTTATTAGGCTTTTGATTATATACTTTAAAAGAAATTATAACGTGAAAGGGGTTTTCTCACAATTAGTGGTACCATTTAAAGGGGTGGGATTTTAAGAAAGGCGTGAATTAGTTCCTAAGCACTATTGTACATTTAGGTAAATTTTGTGCACTTTTCGTAGATACACTTTTACAGGAAACTTGTTTAAAATTAATCCTGCTGTACCGTTCGAGTCAACTATGTAAATGTACTGTTTGGGTCAATATGACCCAACTAGGATTTACGGTCCTGATTCAAAATAAAATAAGCTAATGGTGCTAAACAAAACTTTTTTTTTGAACCTATTCTCTATCCTTCCATTGTTGAATATAGGTCTCCCCCAGTTCTCTCCATCTTTCCCTATCTTGAGCTGTTCTCTGCCATGTGGGACCTCCTTGTTTCCTGATGTCATCTTTCCACCTCATCTGTGGTCTGCCTCTTGATCTCTTTATCGTATCGTGGCGTATGGACGCCACTTTCCGATGGCATTGTTCCATCGTCCGTCTTGGAGACGTTCATTATGTCCAGCCCATTTCCATTTCAGTTTTGCTGCTTGTTCTAACGAGTCTACTGTCTTTGTTCTGGTCAAAATTGCAAGAGAAAGTCTCTATCGGACTACCGCGCAAAAGATGGAGTGATAACCTTCCGCCAATGAACAAGCAGAATTGCTTATACAGAGAAAGAATAAGAAGAAGACAAAGCAGCTTGAAAAATCCTAGGCAAAAAACAAAAATAGAAATCAGATATTAAGAGAACGAAGTCAATAAGTTAAAAATTTAGCAATTTAAAAAACCGCACTTGTCATTTAGTTTTAAAAGTTTTGAAATAAGACAGAGCAGAACAAAGATATGTACCGGGTGGTGCAATAAGCCGATATCTCGGCTATATATCAGAAACTATTCATGTTATAACTTTAGGAGAAAAAATTCCTGAGTAAAAGTGGTCAAGAGAAATCGCTGGAAATAACTTTCAAGTTTCTGGTTAACCGCTAGGGGGCGTAAACTGTGAATAAAAATTTGAAAATCAGTTTTTTGTGAAATATGCCCAATTATAATAAGTGTTAAATAAGTAAACTAGAAAGAGGCCTAAATTCCGCACAAAGTTGTTCAAGTACTTTTTTTTATTTTTTCAAATAAAGGGTGGAGAGAGTGGGAAAGTAGTTGTGGAAATATACCTATAACTTTGATTTGAATCAACCGATTTTAAGGAAATTAGTGTCATTAGGAAGAGTATGGATGATTTAATTTATATCTACTATAAAACAATTGAATTTATTTTTAATTGTCATAGGCAGAGGGTACTTTTGAATAGAAAAAATTAAAATTTATTTTTTCTTTAAAATGTTTAATGGAAACACCTATTTAATGTAAATTATAATGGAACTGGAACAAAACAGCGCAAACCGTATGTTGATAGCTTTTGTAGAACTCAAGATATGAATAAAAACGCATAAACATAAATAAGTATAATATCGACTCATCCTTTATTATAACTGAAAATTACATATGTGAAAGATCATACAAACATATCGATCATCAAAACTTAATGTCTTATTAAATGCTCAAATTGTTTTCCATCATTGTCCACACAAAGATGTAATCTTTCGCGCGTAGACTTAACAGCTACTTCAATCTCAGCTGTTGATATACTATTTATTGTGTTTATAATGCGCTGTTTCATCTCGACTCGCGTGGTTTGCCAGGTTTGGTACACTAAGTCCTTCAATCTTCCCCACAAACAAAAGTCCAGATATGTTAAGTCTGGAGATTCCTGTTCCAATCCATTTATTTGGATAACCTGCATACAAATAATACAAGTAATCAAAAGTAAGCAGAACACCCGTCATGTTGTAATATCATATCTCTCCTTGTATGTAAGGAAATAAACAGGCAACTGATTTTCCAGAAAATCCAAATATTTTTCGCCATTTAAAGTTATATCAAAGAAATATGGACCTACGATCTGTCCATCAATAATACCACACCAAACATTAAGACTCCATCTACCTTGAACCTGCACCTCATGTATCCAATGCAGATTTTCTTTAGCCCAATAATGCATATTATGCAGATTAACACCACCCGCACTATTAAACGTAGCCTTGTCTGTTCACAAAATCTTTGACATGATACGTGATTGTTCTTCTAGCAGACCTAATATCCAATTGCAGTAATCCAGCCTTGCATTAAAATCTCTCACATGTAAAGCTTGGTGGAGAACTACATGATAAGGATGCAGTCTAAAAAAACAGAACAACAAATATTGGTGAAAAAGAAACCTATCTATATTTACTATAACTAAAAATCTGGAAAAATCTACAAGAAACGGATAAAAGGATAAAAGCGCCGTGTTGCTGTTTTTATCGGAATATTAAGATAACAGTATAATCTAAATTTTAAAGGGAATTCCAAGTTTCTGACCTAAACGTTCACTTTATAATATGAAAAACCAACATGTGATGTTTTAAAATCCTTAGAACAGTAGTTTTGGGTACGTTTAATTCTATAGAGATTTGCCGACTACTTATATGTGCATTCTGTTGAATTAAAGCAAGAACATTAATTGAATTATCTTCGACCATATCTTTACTACATTTTTTAAAACAAGGACGATGAAAACTACCAGTTTCTCTTAATTTTCTTACCTTTCTTTCAAATACTTCTTTGCCATAATGTCTCCTATCAGGATATCTTACAGAATATATACGTGAGGCAATAGCGGCATTTTGGTGACATTCGAAATAAACTCCAATCATATCATACAATTCTGCATTTGATATACTCATCACGGATAATTAGTACTCAATTAACTACTAATATTAGCAATATTAATATATATTGAAAAAAGTGCAATCTTAAATTCGGATTATAATATAACACTTTCGAAAAAACTATTTTTAATCATATAAAATAACAATGGTCAAAATAGGTATGAATATTTTGATTCTTTTGCTATAAAAAATTTGAAAGTACCTACTGACTTATTTTTTAATTTAATTTTTAATACAGGGTAAGTCAATACTATACTTACTTATGTTTATGCGTTTTTATTCATATCTCGAGTTCGACAAAAGCTATTAACATGCGGTTTTCGCCATTTTGTTACGAATTTATTCCAATTCCATTACAGTTTACAGTAAATAGGTGTTTCAATTAATCATTTTAAAGAAAAACGAATTTTAATTTTCTATTCGAAAGTACCCGCTACCTATGAGAATTAAAACTAAATGCAAATATTTTATAGTAAATGTCAATTAATTTATCTACACTCTTTCTAATGGCACTAATATCGTTAAAATCGGTTAATCCAATTCAAAGTTATAGGTATTTATCCACAAATACTTCCACACTCTCTCCCACCCTTTATTAAAAAAAAAGTACTTGAACAACTTTGTGAAGAATTAAGGCCTCTTTCTAGTTTACTTATTTAACACTTGGTTTAATTGGGCATATTTCTAAAAAAACTGGTTTTCAAAGTTTTCTTCACAGGTTACGCCTAGCGCTTAACCCAGAAACTTGAAAGATATTTCCAGCGATTTCTCTTGACCACTTTTACTAAGAAAATTTTTTTCTCAAAGTTATAACATGGATAGTTTCTGATATATAGCCGAGAGATCGGCTTATTGGACCACCCGGTACAAAAAAGTTGAAAAAGAACGGACCAAAAGGATTTAAGGTGCAAAACAACATAAACCATGGAAAAAAATTGTTAGTCAATTTTTTTTTTTTCACATAAATGTACTACTATGAGAATAGGTGATATAACTTTAGCAGCTGTATTGAAGAAACCAGCAATTTCTATTAACGGATACCAGGAAAGACTAGAGGGACATTTATATTTAAATATTTTTTACAGCAATACAAGTAAATTAGTATTATACCGCAATCTTCAATATAAACTATATATATATATATATATATATATATATATATATATATATATATATATATATATATATATATATATATATATATTGGGTACACACAAATAAGAAATTAAAAACGAATTCACGGCACCGACAAATTCCACGAGGCAATACATGCTTACAAATGATAAGAGTAATTTTTAAAGCCATAATGACGCTTCACGAAAATAAATACTAATAATAGTTTTATCTGAAGAAATAATTAAAAATATTATAAATACGATATGTTTTATAACTACTGTAAAAATTATAATCTATTTAAATAAAGATATCTCTTCGAAATAACAAAATATTTTATTTGTGTTGTTTTCGTTGGTTTATGCCAGCAAGGTTAAATAGTGAAATTAAAAAAATATGTAAGAATGATAAAAATAAACATATAAATGAAGAATGCAAAGAACTAGAGAATCATAAGTTATATAACAAAGTCTGATATATATCCAGGGAATTGAAACCAATTACACAAACAAGAATGGATCAAAACCAACATATCGTCGGTAATCTGGCAATTTCTCCAATCTGCATTTTATATGAAAATGAGTTATCGATGCATTCGGAATTTGCTTACACCAAAGATTCGTCCTTAGAAGTCCTATGAACGAGAAAAATGTCTACATATATAAAAACGCTACTTGTAATTTCTCCTATCTAAATTCACGCGGCAAACTATATGTAACATTTCCTATCTTGTTAGTTTGTATGCTGTAATCATATTATAAATAACGAGAAAGGGATTGCGGAGGTATGGAAAAAGTATCATCAAAGTCTATATGCAGATGATCCCCAGAATGCAAATTACGATGAGTTCACTGTAGAGAGAGAACTGGACATTTTAAAGTCAGAGGTAGAAAAAGCAATCAAAAAGTTGAAAAACAGAAAATATCCTTGCGCAGACATTTGGGAAACGTAGAGTGGCCCAACGACTGGACACTTT